CTAGAAAGCAAGAAGGGCTGATGTGTCACCACTTACTGTTCTCTGCCCCGTCCCCGTGTCCCCTTTCTCTCCTAGAACCTCCTTTGAAAAACCACAATCTGTCCAACCCACACCCAACCTAGACTCAACATTTCCTGGGTGCACCCACCCTAAGTTGCACAGATGGGTTCCTGGCTGACAGGACATAGGGGTGGCTGACGCCAGGCCTGCTGCTGGAGGGTCTGGGACCAGTGCGCCTGGGGCAGACACGCAGCAGCCCCTGAGTCAGGCCTGCCTGTAACTCTGTGACTTCCACATCGTGACTGCTGGGGCCCTTCGGCCCTGTAGGAGCCACCCCCTGAGTTATCTGTATTTCCTGGCCCCCTTCCCTGCCCAGGGAGCTCCTCCTCTGTGGACACCCATTGCCTTCCCAGGTCTCTCCACCCTACACCCAGCACTGGCTGGCCCCAGCAGAGAGTGGTGGATGGGGGTCCTGGCTTTGGCCCAGAGAGGGGGCTGTCCCTGGCACGGGGTGGCCTCTCAGAGCGGGGGATGGGGAGGTTAGGGGACAGCTCACAGGCCTGCTTTGTGGGCAAGTGGTGCCCACTCCACCTGGCAGCTGGTCCCTGCTCCCCCTTCCAGCGGTTCCCTGGACACTCCTACGTGGGGCGGGGAGCCCTGGCATCCCCAGCCGCTCTCTCTCTTCCATGGGAAAGAGGAGGGAGGAGAGAAAAGCCGTATTAATAAAAGAATAGGATACTGCGACTAACTCCGCAGCGTGTGCCGCTCAGAATAGCAATGTGCTTTCTCAAGGCAAACAGAACTCCCCAGGTGTTAATGCAAATTCACTCCAGTTAAGATGAAAGAGGGTTGTTTCCCCCTTTGCTGGCTAATATGAAGGACTTAATAGATTCAGCTTCGGGAACTTCAGGCTGGGAGCAGGAGGCTGGGGGAGGGATGGAGGCGTGGGCGAGGAAGGGAGGTCCCCATGGGATTCAGGGCACCGCGACTGCCACAGTGCAGCGGGTCCGGCTCCTGCCACCTCAACCTCTCTCCCTGAAGTGGACAAGAGCCCCAGCTCAGGAGGAGGCCCTAGGAAAGCCCAGGGGGCCCTGCCCCGTGCCCGCTGCCCTTCATATTAACTTGGGGGCTGACGCCACAATCGTCAGTCCTTCATTTGTGCCAGAGGAGCGTGGAGCTTGAAGAAGGGACTGACTGGGGCGAGCCTGGCCGGCTGTGCTGGGTACCCGGTTCCAGGGTCCAGTCCAGCTCAGCTGGCCGTGACTGCCCCTGTGGGAGAGAGGGTCCCTCACTTCCCATCAGGCTCCCTGGGTGGTGAAACTGGTTTGACAGGGCCTGGGGAGACCAGCCTGAGGAATTCCTTTAAAACATCCAGTTCGAAGACTATTGGAACAAGAAAGGGCTTCAGAGTTCCTCTGGCCCAAACCTGACCTTTTATAGCCAAGGACTTGGAAGCCCAGAGAGTAGAGGGACTTACTCAAGGCCACACAGCTGCACGCAGAGAGCCTCTCAAGGACCATACTCCAGGCTCTGCTCTCCTGGAAGCCTGAGTGGCCCTCTGTGGCACACAGTCTGGGGGACTCCACCAGCCACAGGCCCCTTCATCCCATGACAGAGGAGGGGAGAGTGGGGGCACCCTTCTCCCACCCCAGGGTCCCTGGGCTAAGCTGTCTATCCCAGACCAAGCAGATTTGGCACACATATTTTCCCCAGAATCATCCTCCATTGAAAATTGCCCGCGGTCCCAGCTGGGCCAGTCCAGGGAGGGGAACAGGGACACCACACAGGGGCTGGTCTGAGGCTGGGACCCTGGCAGAGTGTCTCCTGGCTCAGCCGGGGACAAAGGGCAACTTCAGGGAGATCGGGAGGGGGGCGGGGGGTAGTGGGGGGGGAGGCTGTCCCCAACCAATCCTCTTCTCTCATCTGCATTTAACTCCTTTCTCTCGGGGCAAATGGCACAGCAGGTTCCCGAAAGGAGACACCTCCGCAGCCTTTTCCCTTTTGTTTACGGACTTAATTCCTTCGGATCAAAGAGTGCCCCTTCCTCCCCTAGCAGGCAGGCGGGGGAATTACATTATTTATATTGGAAATGGGCAAGACTCCATGGGGACTTCTTCCTTATGCCTGATAAGAGAAAATCAGGTCACCGCCATGCCTCCCTGGTGTCTGCGGTTGGGTTCTGACAGCTCGGGCACCCACAAGCTGGAGAAGAGCGCCAGGTGCGGAGCCAGTGCGGCCCACCCAGCCCCTCTCTTGCCCTGAGCCTCCGGTAAATTATTGACCAGAGCAGCGGGCATTAATGTGACAACACTAGAACATCCTTTCCATGCAGCCCCAGCCTGGGTTATCTATCATCTCCAGGGCTTTGCAGCTGGCACTGGGCAAACACAGCGAGGACAAACAAGCCAGATGCAGGTTCATTAAAGCTCCCGGCACAGGTGGAGGGACGGCTCCCCCCCACCCCCGACTGGGGGCAGCTGGTGGGCTTGACCCCTCGGAGCCACGGCTTCCTCTGGTCACCACTGCTCTTTTCTCTGCTTCCTCCTTGCAATGCCCACCCCAGCTCCCCCAGCCCGCCCCCCCCAAAAGAGCCACCCTCAACCAAGTGGCACCGTGCTAAGAGCTCTCTTATTAATCCCCACAAAAACCCTGTAACTTGCCTAGGGTCACACGGCTGGCAAGTCGCCGAGAAGGGATGGGGACCCAGGTCTGAGTTCCAAGTCAGGAAGGGCTGAGCCCTTCAGCTCTATGGTTTCCTTAGCCCTCTCCCCGGCTGGGTGTCTAGAAAAAAAAAAAAAAAATGTGCCGCTTCACGAGTGCCGCTTCTATTACTTGTAAATAATGGTGACACGGCCCCACGTCCTCCCTCTTTTTCTTAGAAATCTGAGTACTGCTCAGAATCTGCTCCTCACGTTATTCGGACAACATTCCAGAGGTACCCAGAGAGGTCACTGTCAACCCTCTTTTCAGAGGGGGAAGCGGTTTGGAGAAGCAGAGCCCCTGGCCCGGCAGGGACAGCAGGGACGGCAGGGACGGCAGGGACGGCAGGGACGGCAGGGACGGCAGGGACGGGGACGGCAGGGACGGGGGAGCCTCTCCCCGCTCTGACTGCGGCATTCCTCACAGGTCTGGATTTCTTCAGCTTGGAGGCAAGATGCCAGGTGCTATTCTGGGGCTGCTGCCCCAGTGAGACGGGCATCAAGTGAGCACCGGGAGAGGACGCGGCGAGGGTTCCGCTCTGAGTCAGCTCAGGGGCTGGTGGCGCTGATGATTCGCCTGAGCTGGCTCCCTGCAAGCGAGCTCCTGACTCCCCAGCCGAGCCGGGACTGGACTGCGGCCGCAGCCAACCTGCCATAATGCAGTCATGACAGGCTTCCAGGGAGCCCCGACGCGGCGGGCCGGCCGGCCAAGTAGGGAGAGGAGAAGGAGACAGAGGATATGTGGACGGCTCGACTCTCCCTTCCCCGGATGTGCAAGAAATTGGATTTGACGCGGTTGCACCAATACCTTTCCACCCAGCGTCCTGCTGGCAGGATTCACCGTTTTATGTGGGTGGCTCGCTATCCATTCCTCCAAAGTGAAGGCTTCTGGGGTGGGCAGCTCTGGGAGCAGCCACCAGGCACTTGGCTCTCAGGCAATGACCAAAGGCAGACCAAGTGCTGGCAGGGAGATCAGAAGGGGCCACTTGGGGACCCCACGGGACCCTGCTGCAAACACTATCATTGAGCCCTGAGGTCCGGCCAGCGGCTTTGGGTTTACAGCACAGTCAAGACAAACAAACAAAAAAAGCAGAGTAGAACTCAACTGGTGTCCCCAGTACCAAAATACCAGGTAATATTATTGCTCTCACCCATTTAATGGAGCTTTCAGGATCTGTATGGGAATATTACTATCTTTAGGGGGTTGGCTTTAAACGGTCAGGTAAAAATGTCGTCTGGGCAGCTTCAAATGACCAGTATTTACGAAGTACTTTCTCTGGCTCACACTATAAGGGGCAATCAAACTATTTCCAATCACTGAAAATAACAATCTACGTTTTTTAAGAAGTGAAGCACCTTCATATTATTTAAGTCTAATTAGCTACCAATTTTATAAATTTAAAACAAAATAAATATTTTTGTGCCACATGGCTCGGCATTTTCCAGACTTGGAACACACACACAAAATAAATAAAAATTTTGGCCATTTTCTAATTCTATGCCTTCAAACATATCTTTCCAAAATAGATTTAAAAAAATATACGTATCTCCACCTCCTGAAATTTTTGTGAATTGTGATAGCTTATTTTCGGGATTGGCCTGTACAACAGAGACCTGAAATGTATTCTGACGTGTGGCAGGCCCCCGAAAAGGCCTGATAACGCATTGTGCCGCCTGAATCTTTCATTTTAGGCTGCGTGATTTGAGACAGAGCTGTCCCATGGTAGTTGTGGTCTTCAAGGATTTTTACTGATAAAAAAAAAAACAAAACCCACAGAAACAGGACAGAAAACTACGAGCTCTACAGCAATGCTTCCTGACTTGAAGTGTGACTGCCACGTGGCCTGTGACAACAGCACACCTCATCTGTGCAGTGGACTGTGCCCAGGGCCCTGCGAGTCCCTACCTCCCACCCCCTCCTCTAGCGCCCAGAATGGGGACAACTGGAAGCAGAAGCAGCTGAAGGGGTTGCTGAGTCCAGCACCCTAGTTGTCAGGTCCGGCATTGAGGACAGGCAGGGAGGAAAGGAAACACAACGGGACCCTCTCCAGGGCCCTCTCCAAGACACTGAGTGCCCCACGGGGCGTGGTAGGGAAGGAAGAGCATTCCCAGGTGAAAGTACAGTAAGGGGTGCTCTCGTCGACCTGGAAAAGGTGATCCTTCTGTTACAGGTGAGGTCCCTGGGGCAGGCAGGGAGGGCGGAGGCCAGGTTTCCTCAGCGCCCACAAGAGCGAGCCCTGCCACCCAGGCTGGGGCGGCAAGCAAACCAAAGAAGCCCAAGACACTTTTGACAGCTTAGAATTTTTATTAAAACAATCATTTAAATTACAACAATCCCCCGGAATAGAAAATAGCCTTCCGTGGTCAGGCCCTGATAGGAAACGAGACTCAGACCCCACTGGAACAAGTGTGGTCTGACATCTTTGAAAAGGCATGGAGCTTCCCTGGAAGCCCACGGGGGGTGGGGGGTGGGGGGGGCCTGCCTGGCCCCAGGGCAGCTGGGAGGGGCTGTCCCCACACTGAGGCGGCCCCTGCAGCCCCAGCCCCAGCGGCGAGCAGCACTCTGTCCCAGTCCTGGCTGTCAGCCTCTGGATTTGCTGTTCTGATTTGTCAGAGAGAAGAGAGGGAGAGAGAAGCCTGTCCCCAAGATTACAAAACACCATCACTTGAGAAGTGTTACATAATGGCACAGGGTGTTGTCTAGCGGGGCCTGGCAGGTACGTGAATAACTGAGTGGACGCCACAGGTCAGAGCGCTGCTGCGGCTGACGCGGGGCCCTGGTCAGGACGGACGAGGTGGTCTGTGCGCAGCAGCAAAGGCCAACGGCGCAGCCACATGTAGTGTCACCAGTGGGGCAAGGACCGTCAGCAGTGGCCGAATGAAACTGCTCTCAGGGGGGGCTCAGAGGCCTCTACCTAATAAGCTCCCATGCCCCCAAAATGTTCACTTGAAAAGAACACAGTCACCTGAGCCACAGGCACGAGTCCCTGAAAACCACATTCCTCTTTCATTCCTTTTCCTTCTGCTGTGGCTCAGGGCCTTTCGGAGGGCCATCACCCTCTCTGCCCAACCGTCTCTGGGAGGTACACGCCAGCTCCCGCCTCCAATGAGAGCTGAAGTGTTCCTGGTTGAGTGAGGCTCTGCTGCGCCCCCCCCCCCCATTCTACTCTTGGGCCCGAGGGTGCTCCTGCCACAGCTCAGATGCCAGCTGGCTCCCTTGTGGCCACATGGCTCGGCATTTCCCGGACTTGGAACACACACACAGCAGTTAAATAATAAAAAAAAAAACAAAGCCTGACAACATTTATATAAACCACTACCATGCTCCTGTGCCCACAGCCACTGTTACAGATTCAATTTGCAGGTCGGAAAGAAAGGAACTCGTCATGGAAATTCAGGGGTGGGTGGTGAGGCCAGGGAGACAAAGCCTCAACACGAGAGCCAGGCCCTACATTACAAACGCCTCAGGACTCGCTTTACTGGGACCACATCTAGGGGGAAGAGGGTTTTGAGGGACAAGGAAACCCTGTCAGCCACAGCCATCCACACTTAGCACTGGAGGTGGAGTTCCACCCTGCACGGCCCAAGCTTGAGTACACACACGGCTGCCTTCCTCAGGGCAAGGGGGTCCCAGGTGTGTGTGTGTCGGGGGTGGGTGGCCAACAGGGGACACCGTCAGGTCAGCCTGACTGCGTAAAGGCAGGATCTCTGTGAGTTTCTCGGAACCACACAGGACAATCATAGACCCCCCCGCCAGGAAATCTCCAGACCCTCACTCACATGTCTACACTTAATAAGCCTCTTCTCGCTGGTTCTGACTTATCTCCTACTCTGTGTAATACCCCACTGGAGGGATCCGAATGGCCAGTGGGTCACAGCAGCACCACCAAACCAGAGAAGAGAAAGTGGCCCCGAGCTGAGCAGCGCGGTGCCTGGTGTGGCTCTGGGACCCGCTGCTGCCCGAGAAACAGGGAGCCGTGCACAGCCGACGCAGAGCACCAACAGCGAGGGGACACCCGGCTTGTGCACCTGGCTTGCGCTGGGACCCCGCACGGCCCAAGGGGGAATATAAGATAAAGGGCTGCCTGGGCTGCAAGGGCAACACCAAAAGGAGGCCCCGTACAATCAGGGCTTAGGAAGGGCTTGCCGGCACGCGGCCAGGACAGGTGATCTGGGTCAGCCGCACAGACGCGGGGCTCAGCAAGAAGTACCTGGGGGGACTCGAAGCCCTAATGGAGCCTGGCCGGGCTACCAGGGGCTAACTACCAGTGACCAGGGAGCTCCCCAGCCTGCCACAGGCAGGAAAGACTAAGGCTGAAGGGGGGTGAGGAAGACACACAGCTCCCGCCTGCCTCCCTGGTCTGAGGCGTGAGCGCGTGTTCTGTGGAGCAGATTCCCACACAGCTCTGCTGGCCTCCCTGCCCCTCTGCTGGCAGTCAGCCCGTCATCACAGCCTCAGCCTGAAGTCTTCCCCCGGTCACAGCTGTCTTCCCCATTGCCCACCAGCTGGCAGCCAGAGCGCGGCCTTGGGGGTGCCTGGGCTGAAGACCCACTGCATGGCCTGTCATGAGCCACACGCCAGCTCATCGGTGACATGCAGCAGGCAGGCTGGCAGGCAGGCCGCTCCGGGCCTGGGCCTAGGCAAGCCACACTTCTTTCCATGCCAGTTCCTCACCAGTGGAGATGAATGTTCTGGAACCCAGGGTGGGGTGGGGGCAGGGGCACCAGCCTCCCTGTCTCTGGGGCTCCCGTGCACCGCACTCCCTGAAGCCACTTCCCTGGGTTGGGGAGGTCAGCGCTGGACAAGGACCCACATGCCCCAGGGTGCCTTTGACAAAGGAAGTATGGAACCCCACATCAGATGAGGAAAGACAAATACTTCTTTAAAAATTTTAAAAAGAGCTAGAACCCCACAAGAGAGCTCTCTGCAGGTCACAGTTCAAGGCAATTGCACATGAAGGGGGTTGGGCTCTCCACTCAGCTGGGGAGAAAGTTCCAGAGCTCCCACAGAAGCTCCAAGCCAGCCCACCTACGAGGACTCCCACGGTGTCTGACCCATCCCTTTGGCGCCGGGAGCAGCAGACGTGACAGATCCTGGGGTGGCTGGGCACCTGCTAGAGCTCTTCAAAGAAGGCCACTCGGGACTTGGCGCTCTGCAGGGTGAGCTGCAAGGAAGCAGAGAAGAAGTTGAAAGGCAGCTGGATTCCTGCTTTCGCGATAGGTGCCGTCCTGCCTTGGGCACTAAGGGTCCAACCTCAGGGCTGGTTTGGGGTGAAAGGGAAGACTGCTCAGAGAGACACTGAAGAAGCTGGCGGCCAGTCCCAAGTAAGTTTCCAGATTTGCCCAGGAACTCAAATGAGGAAGTGACAAATGAGGACATGCCAGGAAGGATGGCTGGTGGACAGAAGCATGTCAGCAGGAAAATGTCATCAATGTCATCTTTTCACAGAGGGCAGGACACTGGACACTGTAAGAGAGTCTCACGTCCCCTGCAAGAGTCTCTAATGTGCCTCTGTGGGGCCCTGCCTGTGGTCATGTCAGGATGGGATGCTCATCGTCTCCAGGGCTCAGAGGACCAGCTTGGCAGCACAAGCCTCAGGCAAGGCAGGCCTGTGTCAGACAATGAGGAGTGTGTCCCTTCCACTGCTGGTTCCCCTGGTGGCCCCAAAGCAGACTTGCCTGTGACCTGGCAGCTCAGAGTGGGCTGGGAGGCAATGATCTTTCTAGTTGAGGCTGGTTTTGGCAAGGAGGATGGTGTCCAAGGGGCAGTGCTCTGTCTGGAAACTACAAGGCCTTCCCAGGAAGGCTGCTGCCCTGAGAAGCACAGGGTGGGGAAGCAGCAGAAGGGAAGGGGAGGATCAGGGGTTGAGCTCTTGGCGTGGTGGCAAGGCACGAGAGTTTGTGACCCCCTGGACTGATGAACCCCTATCCCCTGACTCAGGAGGCCACCTCCCAGATCTCCCGCAACAGAAGCATCCGACTCCTGACATCACCCACCTGGGTGAGACTGTGCTCTACATCCAGCTCCTGGACTTGGCAAAGGGGGTCTTTAGGGAAGGGGGACACTGATCACCTTCATATCCCCTAAAGCCAGTTAGTTTACTGTTTCCTACCTAGTAGCAGCTCCAGTGTTTGCTGAGTGAATCAGACGTAGGCTAGAAAGGGTGGGATGCACAGGAAAGGCAAGAGCTCCACATGGGGCTGAGAAGACCTGGGCACTAATTCTCCTTTGTCACCAGCTTGCTGTGTGGCCTCAGTGGACTTCTCTGAGCCTCTTCCCGCTGGAGTTAAACCACGGAAGCCGGCTGGACGGTCTGGCCATTCCCTCGAGCTCTGCCAGTCTCTAAATATGAAAAGTCCTTGGTACTATCTCTGCTCCCTAAAGGTGGGGGAGGGAGGCTCAAAACCCATCACTTCGCCATCAAACACAGGCAGCGTCGGTGTGCTCAGATGAGACAGCTTGAGAGCCGGCTCTTTAAACCCTGCCAAATCTTGTGGCCTTGAAGTTCCTGACTAACAAGCTGAGTGTAGGGAGGCGTCTGAGCTGTCTTCTTCGGTGGAACCAATTTCAGAAGCCCTGTGGAAGAGCCAGCTCTAATAAGACTGGAGAGAGCTTTCATTTCTTTGCTTAAATGGAACTCCCTCTAGAAGGGAGCCAAGTTTGGATGGGTTTCTCCCTAAACGCAGTCAGAGGAGAATGGCCAGGAGTTATGTGCTCTGTGATAATGGGACTCAAAACGGTAACTAGGAAAGAACGAGAACCCGAGACTCACTGGGACAAAATCCTCTCAGGGGAGAATTTAAATCAAAAGGTGTGAAACCAGGGGCGCCTGGACGGTGCACTCATGAAGAGTCCAACGTGGCTTCTACTTGGGTTCTGATCCCAGGGTCCTGGGATTTAGCCCCGTGTCAGACTCTGCAGTCAGGATGGGGTCTGCTTGAGATTGTCTCTCCCTCTCCCGCTGCCCCCTGCCTCCACTCATGCTCACATGCATGCTCTCTCGCTCTCTCAAATAAATAAATAAACTTTTTTTCCCCCCTAAAAAAAAGGTGTGAAAACCCAGTGTCTCCACTGAGGTTTCTTAGACCTCAGATGGGCTCCTCAGGGGGACAGGGAGACACCCACAGCCCTTCCCCACACTGAGTCACACACAGGCACAGCCAGGCTGCCTGATCCAAAGCCGCTGACCAGCTGGGTGGCCCGGGCGGGTCACTCACTTGCTGTGCCCTCAGCAGTCTGCTGTGAAGCGGGGGTGGTGGCGCCCCTTCCTCACAGGGGGACACGCAGTTACTGGGAAGCACCGTGAGGCACTCAGCAGCATGCGTGAGGTGCGCCGAGAACTCAACAGCTGTTGTTACTCACCACGGCACCCCGCTTTCCCCCAGCTCTGGCTCCTCTCCTTCCGGGGGGGAGCAGGGCAGAGTGCAGGCTGGAGGCGGTGCAGGAGAGGGCAGGCTCAAGCTCTGTGCCGGCCTTCACGGCCTCCGAGATCGGGCACGAGGCTGCCCCCGAGAGACCTGGCCACTTCCCCAGGCAGGAAGCCCAGGCTGCGGGGGCCTCCGAGAGCCTTCCGCTCGTTTGTACGATGCTGGCTCCAAGAATTCCTGGATCCTCTACCCAAGTTGCGTGCTGGCTGTCCCCTTGAGGTGCCAGGGGAAGGTTTTGGCAGCTCCGTCAGCGCCACATTCCAGTTACTCAAGCCTGTGTTTGTTGGGATGCAAAACCCTGTTCCGGTGGGCCAGAGGCTTCCTTAGATCCGCACCCGGCACTGCAGGCCAGGGGCTCGGTCTGACCTCTTATCTTGCGAGAGCAGAAGTGGCACCCCAGCCCGAGGAAAGGTTTGGAGTGAAGTCAAATACTCTGGCCACACAGAAGTAGCAAAGCACCGTAGACCCGTGCCCTCAGCAAGAGGAGAGAGTACCATGGTCTTCCATAAGGCACTAGGCTGCTACAGCGACAGGCAGACCCACCAGACGGAGGCGGCTGACCACACTGCTGCCACTGAGGATGCTGGGAGCCTCCCGCATTGGGCCACAGGCAGACCTGACTGTTGTGTGGCTCCTGGCGGTCCTAATTCCATTAGGGACCCTGCTGTCTGAGAAAATTACCTCCACAAGCCCACTTATCTGCTGCTGGAACCCATCCAGTCACCACCCTGGCCTCTGCCTGCTCCCCCTTTAGCAGCATTCTTTCTCTTAGACATCAAAATGTCCTCCTCCTGAGTCAGCCAGCCAGCTCAACCTGTGCTCGCTCAGGAAAGCAGGTGGGGGAGGCAGCCAGTGAGAGAAGGGTCTGCAAGAAGAAGCCCTGGGGTTCCTTCCTCTGGGCGGCAACTCAGAAGCCCAGGGGCAGAGGTCAGGAGGGCCTCCTGGACACTGCCAACAGCAGCTCCCAGCTGTGCTCCGGCCTGGTTCCTCTCACCTGTGGGATCTGTCACCACCTGCTGTTTCTAGAAACCTCACTGACTGTCACACTTACTGTACAGCTACAGGCAGGAGGTATTCATAAGAGAGAAGGGGGTTCAGAGGATCACAGCACAAAGCGAGCCCTTCAGAAAACAAACGGCCTCTGTGTGTCTTTGTGTGCTCATGAGAATTGGCTAACAAGCGTCCTGGTTTCCCTGCCGCCCGCTCATGCCCTAAGGTGTACGAGCCCATGTCAGTGTTTGGTCTGCCTTGTCGCTCAGTGACAGGCCCGGCTCTCTCCTCACAGCGCCACGGAGCTGGCCTGACGAATGCTCTCACCTCGCTCCTGCGGGTCAGCTCCCATGGGTCACACCATGAGAACTGAAGCCAGTTTCTCAGCTCCCCCACCACCACCCTGCACTCTCTTTAGCAGCCCAGCACTACCCCTCCTTACCCTCCAGCCTGACCTGCTGCGGGAGGGGGAGCACAGCCTCTAGGAGCCAGAGGAATTCCCCAAGTACTCGGAGCATAGGCTCTATGACCACACCGCCACGGCTTATCTCCACGTCTGACCAGGAAGAGGTCTCCTCCAAGCTTCAGTAGGTGTTGAAGCAGAAAAGCCTCAGGATGCCTCGCAGACAATGGCTGCATCATTCTGGAACGGGCTGAATCTGGTCCGCCTTTTCGGATTCCTCCCGAGGACAGGCGGCAAGAGGTCTGTCTGAACACAACTAGTGACCGTGTCTGCCACGTGCCGTTCAAAAGTCACACTGAATCCAGACAAGGGCCAGCCACGGGGCTCTTGGAGGTCATGCCCAGCGCCTTGGGGAAGCGGTAAACCACACAGGCCCTGCACAAAGCCCCCAGCCCGCAGTGCTCTTGCCAGTTCCCTGAAGATGACTAAGAGAACATGAAGTTTCCTCACCAGGCACTGGGCTGACCCGCTTCTCTCTTCCAGCTGTCTCTTCACATCTGATTAAAATCAGCCGTGTGAATAATACAGGAGGAATTAAGTTCTCTCTTGACCGAACCGGCTGTTCAAGTCTGTCACTAATCCAATTCCACTCTGAGGAGACAAACTTCCTCTGCTTTCCCTGCCGCAGATCTATACAGCTTGGTTTTTATCTTACAGGGGCTCTGATCCACCTGTTGGGCCTGGACCCTTCTTCCTGCCCAGCATCAACAGCCTCAAGCCCGGCAGAGTCCCCCTCGCCTCCTGCCCATTCGTCCCTCAAACTGCCAGTTGTCTGTGGCAGCCAGCAGGCTGGGAAAGGGCGGGAGAGGGAGCCACCCAGAGAGCTACACCTCTTCAAGCAATCACAAGTGTGTGTGGTGTCACCACGTGGACGCGTCCACGTACTCCCAAGTTCGGCAGACATACATGCCTCCTTAAAGAGACAGAGGAGGCTGGCTGCTCTCAAGCCTTGGCAGGACTGGGTGCCCAGCAGGCGCTCCCTAACCCCGGGCATGCCGGCCAGATGCAGACTCAACCGGTTCCTGCTCAGAAGGTCAGCATTTCGGGCAGCCCCTTGGGATGCAATGATCTGGCACTTGCCCGCTCCTAAGAAATAGCTCCAGGGTCTGGGAACACCAAGCCTAGAAGGCACCTGTGACAAGCCCAGGCTCACCAACCCCTTCCCTTCCCCCCCTCCCAGGGGAAGGCACCCAGCTACAAAGGATCCTCCAGCATCATTCCCAGTAGTGCCCCCTGCTGGAAAAACACAACAGGAGGCGATCTGCCAACTCTCCTTCCAGCTCT